GGTTCTCCCCAGACCAGCTGAAAAGGCAGTGACAAATGGGCAGGGAGGTGGGAGGAAAAGCAGACATCGGCACCAGGCTTGTTGCACTTCCCGTGACAGAGGTGCTGTGTCCGCTTTATGGAAGAGGAAACTGAGATTCAGAGAGAGTAGACTTGCCCTCCCTCCCAGCATCCTCCCCTTGGTCGGGGTCAGTTGTGCCAGACCAGCCCCAGCTCGCATTCAAGGGGACAACAGGGGAATGGCTCCCAGGAAGGCCACCCTGACCAGTCCAGGCAGGCTGGGTCACCTGTTCCCCAGGGAGAGTTGGTCCAGACTTAAGCTGTGTGGCTCTGGGGCACTTGCCCCCTCCTTGGCCCCTGTTTTGCTCCTTCCATCTCCTTCAAGGCCGGGCCCAGAGAACAGTGCCTCCTCCTCTGAGCTCCCCCAGTTCACTGAGCACTGCATTCCTCAAAGACTCAGAAGCCCCCCAGCCCACTGCCAGCTGTGGCGTCCCTCTTTGGGGAGCCTCCAGCTGTAGCCTCTGATGGCTGCGGGACACTCCTTCCCACTGCTTATATGGCCGCCCTCTCCCACTCGGCCATCTGGGGCCCAGAACCCAGCCCAGAGCCTGGGACGGAGGGAAGAATCTGCCCAGAGCTCAGGGAAGGTAGCACGGACCTCCTGAAACTCACGAGTCCAGAGGGAGCAGTGGTGGGAAGGTAGTAGCCAGGAGGCACCAGTCTCTGAAAAGCAAGACTAGAACCTTGAAAGACCCACCAGGCACCCTCACCTATGGCTGCCAGCACCCAGAGCCCTGGCTGCCAGGGAGCCACTCACCAGGTCCTCCCAGGGAAGACCCAGCGCTTCCCAGCAGAGCATAGTGGAAAGAACACAGGCTTAACATCAGCCAGTCTTGGCCGTGAACCCAAGCTCTCTGGGCCCAAGTGGAGGGGACAGTCTCTGGGTCTCTCTTTCCCCATCAGTAGGCTGGAAGGGCTGCGAGACTCTGCACAGCTCCAGCCCCTCCCAGCTGCTGCTCTCCATGCCCTGGGCTTCTCCACACACCGTCCTCTTCACCTGGCCTCTGACACTCAGAACCCCAGGGGTACCAGGGGCCTTGGGCCTACCACCATCCTGCCAGGTGTGCCCAGTGTGCACCAAGTGCTGGGCCACTGGACATCTACTCTGCCCACCGGTCCTGAGAGGCAAATGTCATCACGTTCATTTGACTGATACAGAAACTGCACTTCTGGGGAGTGAAGTGACTTCCTCAAGGTCACAAGGCCAAGTTCATAGACAGCGGCCTAGGTTCAAACCTAGGAGAGTCTGATCCTCCAGGGCTGCACTGGGCTGCATTGCAACAAACATAGGATAAAAGCGTGGATTTGTACACTGATTACACTGTGAGGGACAGAGGGAGGGAGCAAGCTAGTGGATGAATGAGTGAGAAGTAGGTGAGTGACTAGTTGACAGAGGAATGAAGAACCAGGCGACTAAGTGACTTCATGAAAGAAACCACAACTGCATCTATGACCATGCAGAAACCCCATTCCAGACAAGGCGGGGGAATCACGCAGCAGGACTGGAGATGGATGGGGGTGTCTAGCGACCCGACCAGACCTACTCCCCCACCGTCAGGGTCTGTGCGTGACTTAATGAACATCTTCAAGTTTGGAGGGAAGCGGGGGGGAACCACACGACAGAGATGAATTTCACCAAATCAGGTCCATTTCTCACTACCAATTAATTAAGAAAGGAGGCCAGGCCAGTAAATCAGGAGAAGACTTGGAATTTGACATTATCTAATTAGGCCATGATCTATGCCTAGTGAATGGGCAAGTGGCTGATAGGAGTTCTGGCACTGAGCTCCCCCAGCCCGCCTTCACCCTACCATCCAAGCTGTCCTCCGCCTCTCCACCTGCACCCTAGACACTGACAATAGATAACATCATCAGGGCTTCTGGGCCAGCACTCAGAGCCAGGATTACAGGGGGCAGGTGTGGAAGACACCTGGGGGCAGAGGCAGGGTGTAAAGGAGACCCAGGCCCTTCCTTCAACAACTTTACAAGCGACATGATGTGGAGGAAAAGAGTGAGTATCAGATTTGAGGGCTGGGTCTGCACAGTAGTTCCCAGCCCAGGCTGGCTCTGCCCCTGGGCTCTCTGAAATGGATGACTGCAGGAGAGTTCCTGCGGCTTTGCAATGTAATTGCTGTTTCTGACCGCCAGGGGCTCTGTTCGAGGCTGGAATTAAACTGCTGCTCCCCAATTTATTAGCTGTGTGCACTTGAGCAAGTAGTTTCACTTCCCTGAGTCTCCCTGCCTTCCATTATCAGTGAGGATAATAACATCACTAATGGGATGGAGCTGTGGCAACAATTAGTGACATGATGGAAGGGGAGGCTTGGCAAAGCGCTTGCACAAAGCAAGTATCCGATCTGCTGTTGTCCTTTTCATCCTCGCCCTGATGCCCTGGTTACTTGATAGAACAGGAATCATAAACTTTTTTTTTGCAGAGGACCAGATAGTAAATATTTTTGACTTTGTGGGCTCTGTCTCTTGCAACCACCCATCCTGCTGTTGTAACTTGCAAGCTGATGTAGACATCACCTGAACAAATTGTGGCCCTTTAAGACTTGATGGGTCAAAAAAATTAATTTCACCAGATTTTCACTTGACGCCAAATGTTTTTCTTCTGATACATATTTAAACTATTTTTAAAACAAACAGAAAAACATTCTCAGCTCATGGGCCTTACATACTAAAATAGGGAGCAGGCTGATTGGTCCATAGGCCAACTTGTCCCCTTCACTAGAAGATAAACTTCCTTGTCAACACATTTATCCCAGCACCCGAAACTGACCAATGCAGCTAGTCAATAAATATTTGCTGATTGAATAAATTACAAGCTGTGTGATTCTGTGCAAAGCGTCACTTCACCTCTCTAGGCGTCAGTTTCTAAATCTGTGCCAAGGGGATGCTTGTACCCTCGAGGCAAACATCAAATTGAATTAGAATGTGCCTGGAGTCAACGCTGCAAATTCCAGAACTGCCGTACCATGTAGTTGTTGTTTCTCAACACCAGGGGGCGCTTCTCAGAACCGTCTCACTCCTCAGCGCCAGGCAGGGAGATGTTTCAGGAGGGGTCTTATGTATAGAAAGTAATTCAACCTGCAGGATCCAGTTGGCCTCCTGTGCCAGTTAGAGCTTGGGGGTTTAGGACATAGGCCAGGCACAACAAGAGCTGCAGGGATTGTTTTCTGCTCTCTGAAGTAGACTGACTAAGACTCGGGCAGATTAGTCCCAATTCGGCCTCCAAAATTCAATGATTTTAGGCAAGTCACCAAAACTGGTTGAGACTAAGTTTGCTTATCTTAAAGATGAAGATGTGCACAGTGCTCACTGTCCGGTGTTCTGTGAGTGAGGGGGGGGCTAGTTTAGCACCCCTCTGTAGTAGGCCTGCAGACTAGGAGCGCTCCCTGTCCCTTGCTTGGTGCATCGGGGTTTGACTCCCAGGCTGGAGTCAGCCCATCTGGCCTGCAAAATATGCATTTGTGCCTTCTGTTTGGTGCAGCATCAGGACGGTGGAGGGAAAAGTTGCCTCCAGTCATCCCAGCTGTGCAGATTTTCAGCTCTAAGCAAAGCAGCTCTGCTATTCTTCCTCCCTGGATAGAAAACTTCCTGCTGCTCTGCAAACTCATTCCAGCCGATAAATCCACAGCCTTAAAAGGACTAGTGATACTAAGTCCCTTCTATTTTCTCCTCACACCCATTCTTCCTACCAACCAGCATGAGAGAAGACCACCAACAAACCCATTTGGCCATTTTCTCACTGTTTAAGGAAAATTTTATGAGAGAAGGGAGGGGTACATTCAGCAAGTGAAACTGAGATGCCCAATGCATTTATTTCATCCTGTCTGTCTGTCTGTCTGATCACCCCACTTCCATTTTGCTATCTGAGCAAGCAAGCACACACACACACACACACACACACACACACATACCACAGGAAGGGTATACTCTGTCCAGAGAGCTGGCAAGAGCTGCTTCACCATCTTGCTGTGTGACCTGAGACAAATTACTTCCCCACTCTGAGCAAAAGCCTTCTCATCTGTTAAATGACCAGATTCCCATCCACTTTCCATCGCTAATTAAAAGCTCTCTCTCAGGCTGTGATCCTGAGACCCTGATTCACAATCTGAGTAGATTTGGAAAGAAACATGTTGAAATGCGTCCACTGCCTGGGAGTCCAGACCCAAGCGAAGAAGGTGAGGGCAAGATGCAGCCCTGCAAGACCACAACTGTCACCTGGATACACCAGGTCTCTCTACTTCTCTTTCATAAATTTTTAGTCTTTGCTTGAAACTCAGTCGAGTAATCCCCAAATGTCAGCCCTGACTTCCCCTGCCTGCCTGGTTAAAGTTGGGGCCCATCTTGGGCTCAGATCTACTCAGGTGGGGGGAGCAGTATGCAGCGAGGATGGAGGGGCAGCTGGAGTCAGTCATGTTGCCCTAGATTGGCCTGGAGCTCAGTCACCTGACCTCTCAGCTCACTACCTTCCTTCTCTAACCACCCAGTCGCATGCCTGGGGACCTACTTAGGCTTCAGTTTCCTTGACCCAAGTCCACTAGTTTTGGTGCAGCCCTGCCCGTTGCATTACAATGTACCTGCCCCAGCCTTGTCTACCCTGCTCTTGCCTGTCCTCAAGGAGCTGGGTCTTCTTCCTTCTGCTGACGTACTGCCATGAGTGAAGGAACTATCACCCCCAAACTGCACCCCACTCCTCTAACACTCCCCTGCCTACAACAGGCCTCTCCTAGTTGGCACCATCCCCAGGAAGTACTCAGTGCCCCTTTGAACCATGCCTGGTTCAAAGCTACTCGTCCCTGTCCCCTTCACATCTTCCCCTAATCGAGACCCAGGAGCCCCACTGAGTGATGCCTGGGAAAAGGAGGGACTCAGGGGAGAAGTTCCAGAAGAGACCCAGAGGGCTTCCAACCCCCAAGCCACTTGCACACTTACCTTCTCCAGCTGGTGGACACCCTCTTCCACGCAGCAGATGGAGGCCAGTGTGCGGAGTGCCTGGGGGTACAAGCACCGGAAATTGTCCTGCCTGCACACCTTGAAGAGCGCCACGACCCCGCCCTCCTGTCAAGAGAAAGAAAGTGTTATGTCATCTCCTGGGTGACCTTTCCAGGGATGGACTCAAGAGCAACTGATGTCCCTCATTCAGCAGGTATGCATGTAGGTCTGAACGGTCACAGACTATGCAACCCCAAAATATTCCACTTCACTGACAAGCCTTTATCTACTATCAGTTTCCCATATATTTGTCTTTATCTATCATCAGTTTCCCACATATTTGCCTTTCTACATTTTGCTGCCCCATAGAGACACAGATTCTTTTCCATTTTCATGTTACTTCTCTAAAAATGTGCTGCTCCTTTTCTAAAAAGCCAAATAAGCTTGAGGTTTTTTTATTAATTTTTTTTACATCATTGTTCATTTTAAAACAATATTTGCTTCCCCCATCCCCTCAGGTGTTGTCCCCAAAGAATTTCCTCCACCAATGCACCTGTGCACCATCACCTCAGTCCCATGTGCTCCTCCCTCCCTCCCTCTGATCCCTCTCCCTCCTCCTCCCTTTCAGGATGTCTCTGATTTATAATGGTCTGTTTTTGCTTTGTTGTGTTTTGTACTGTTATTATTTTTTTATACAAATGTCTTATTTGGTTCCCCTATATTCCTGCTATAAATGAAACCATCCAATATTTTTCTTTTTCCTTCTGGCTTATTTCACTGAGCATAATTCGTTCTAGCTCCATCCACGTTGCTGCGAATGGCATGAGTTTATCTTTTTTGATTGCTGAATAATATTCCATTGTGTATATATGCCACATCTTCTTGATCCAGTCATCTATCTTTGGGCATTTGGGTTGTTTCCACTTTTTACCTATTGTAAATAGTGCTGCAATAAACATAGGGGTACAGGGAAATGCAAATCAAAACTACAAAAATGAGATACCATCTCACACCAGTGAGAATGGCACATATTAAAAAAGCAAGCAACAAAAATGTTGGCGAGGATGTGGAGAAAAAGGAACTCTCCTACATTGCTGGTGGGAGTGCAGACTGGTCCAGCCACTATGGAAAGCTGTCTGGAGGTTCCTCAGTCTACTAAAAATGGAGCTAACATATGACCCGGCTACTCCACTACTGGGGATCTACACAAAGGACACAAAAACATTGATTCATAAGCCTGAGTTTTAACCAACCCTTTGAATTACTTATCTCTTAGTGTCCCCATGAATAAGTGTGATGTACATGCTACCTTACGTCTACTTGTTTTTCTCTTGTTTATCTGTCTTCTGTCAGTTCAATTTATAGGCCACCAAAGAAAATAATAGAAAAAAATAATTTTCCCTCCCCTACACACACATACACAAGCACAGGTGTGCTCCCATGCTCACACACTTACATGCCCACTGCCATAGTGAAGCGAAATGCTCCAGAAATGTCATCACCCTGGAGTGTCCAACCTGGAGGTAGAATTTCCCAGTGCCTCTGGGGAATACATGGGCGAGCCAAGGCGGCCATGTTTGCTAGGACTGCGGTTCAACACCACCGTTCAACATAACTCTCAGACACTTGGCAACCGGCTCTCAGCAGCCTGCCTGCAGGCAAGCCTGCAGTCATCTGACAAGTTCCAGAACTAGCCTAAGGCAAGGGGTGGGGGGAGCACTGAAGCTGAGATGCCCACTGCTGGCTCCTGAAGCTCTGCCATCAACCACCTCACCTCCCAGATCCTGCCAAGCACCACGGGAGGCACACGAAACAGGAGTTTTATTTATATCCGTACTATAATTTATCCCTGTCTAAAGTTCAGATGGGTGAAATAAATCACCCCAAGTCTACATGGACCTTGTTTTCACTCCAATTTGTACAAGAAATAACAAGCCCATCAGGAAAGAGCAGCTCTAAGTGAGCACAAGGGTGTGTTTTCCCCTTTTTGAGACCCGTTCATGGAAATGCCTTTCTTTTGTGGGGACCAGGCGGGAGAAGTCTGGGAGGATTTCTGGGGAGAATCTGGGAGTGAGAAGCTTGTCCTAACTGGATGTTTATCTAGAAACATCTCTGGAGCCAACCTTAGCTCTGGGAGTAAAGTGAGTGACTCCACAGATCACACAGATGACCCACCACTGTGGGCATCCCAAGCAGGAGAAGCAAGATACCCCACATTTGCCTCTGCCCTGTTTCCTCCTGCTCCCCTCCACGGAGAGCCGAGAGGCATGAGCAGGTGATGTAACCTGGTCCTAGAGGCCCTTACCTTTACCTCATCACTCTTGGCTCTAAGCCCACTGCACACTGTTCCCTAAACTGTTACCAGAGGAAGAGGGTGACCTCAGCAGCCTGTCAGAACTTTTGAGCTCTGAAAAAATAGGCACTGCCCACTGGCTATGCTCCAGGCACTGTTCCTCGAGCTGGGGATGCAGCTGTGAGTGGCTGGAGGCACAATGAATGAGCAACTGGAAGAGGAAGCAACCCCCACAGTCACCCAGCACAGGCTCACTGAAGAAGTCAAGCCCAGATCTGCCCTTCCCTGCACTCCACAAAGATAGGCTCAGAGCTCCTTTCATTCTAAGAATTCTGCTATTTATTTCGGTGAGGAAAAAAATTAAAGTGTCCAGTTCTGGGGAAGTTGATAATTTGTGACATTTTATAATCAACTGAGAGTGATCTTTAGTTTTTATATTCTTACTTCCTTTGGGGGTAGTTCATTTGGTGGGAAAGGGGCATCCCCATAGGGCTGGCGAGTTCATTCACACATTCCAAAGACGCTAACCATTTAATATGTGCCACACTTTGCTGGGCTCTCAGCACGACAGCCTCATCCCCGTCCTTACTGAGCTCATGGCCTGGCAGGAAGGAAGCAATTTTAACAGCAGGCACCAATCTGCACGGGGGTACAAGGAGATGATGGAGGTGGGGATTCAAGGAGCACAGAGCAGGAATCAAACACACAACCTGAGTCTGCAGATGGGCCAAAATAAAGCCCTTTGATTTTAAATGCTGCCATCACTCAGACAAAAACATGCTTGGTATGAGACAAATGCTCACCCTCTTTGATTCCTTGCTCCACAATCCTTGATGGCTGCTTTCCTGCTACTTTCCCACGGTCTCTGGGACATCTGACTAGGATTCCCCACAGAGGTCTTTCTCAGAGACTCACTGAAGTACAATGAAGACACTCTTTAAACAAGAAAACAGAAACAGCAGTCCTAAGTTCTCCCAACCAGGCCTGCTGGTCATTAATCACCTCCCTCCAGATGTAAGTGGATAAAGGCACACTTACATGGGGATGTTTGTGTGTGTGTGTGTAGTAGATACTTATATTTAATCATATATATTGTGCAAATATTATTTCTAGAGATGATAGATAATAGGAACAGAGACAATAGATAATAGGTAGGTAGGTAAGTAGGTAGGTAGGTAGTAGACAGATGGATGGGTCGATGGATAGATAGATTGGTAGATAGACAGAGAGACAGGTAGATGGATAGATGGACTAGCATATAGATATTTACATCTGGAACAGGCAACCACCAATGAAGAATGGTGCCAGCGCAGACCTAGCCAGGAGCCAGGATTGGCGTGGCAGCCCCTCTTTGGCTTAGGCAGCGCTGAGCCCAGAGCACAATTGTTTTTAGCCTCTGCCCACATTAATTCTCTCCACATCTTATTCCCAGCCTGGGAAAGATGGACTTCTCGGTATTTTTAGCTACTGGGAGAGGAAGAGGGGAAATTCTGAATTCAGATTGAAGGGATTCAGGTTCAAATCCTAGCTCCGTGAGTAGTTGAGTTGGGCTGAAAATGGGGCCATGTCCCCCATGGGGGGAGCACTGAGTTAGTAGAGGTGAAAGGTCCAGCACCCAGTTCTGGAGTGAGTGTGGGTCAGGCTTGGATGGCATCCCCGTTGGGAAGGCTTCATCCACTCAGGAAGGGAGTCCTGAGGGGGAAGTGTGGGAGGGAGTGGAGGAAGAGTTCCACAAAAGAAGTGAGATAGATGAATTTGTTCTGGGACCACCCCCAGGTCCCAGAGAACAGCATTCGGGTCTGAGGACCCAAGAACAGCACTCATCTTAGAGTAGAGCCGGGAATTTCCTGTGTTAGCAGAATCACACTGTTGGCAGGAGCTTGTTTAATTTTATAGAAAGCTCTGGGCCCAGAGCCGAAGGGTCTAACAGTATGAATTATTCAGAGAGACTTGAGATAAGCTGCCATAAAGCCGGAGGCCACCACAGAGGGCGTAGGCTAGTGATGGTGGGGATAATGTGGGGAGGACAGTTCAACAAATCATGGTGGAGTTCTCTGCAACCTACACTCAAAGGGGATGGATTCATGGGTGATATGGTGGCAGCAGAACTATGGGGACTATGACTATGGAAGAAAAAAATTTAATTAATTAATAAAAATTTTTAAAAAGGGCTGGGGATTGCCACCACCTTAAGGAGAAACCATTGTCCCTTGACCTTCAGAAGAACCCAAGAAGCTGAGAGAAAAGACCTCAGACAGGTTTCCCATATGTCTCCTGGAGCAGCTTGGATGGATAAAGGATTCAAAGACAGACAAGTCTGGGCCCCAAAGAGGAGAGGGGAGACCCCTGGGATCAAAGCATAATCCAAATCTTTAAACAACTACTAGTTATAGTTTTTGAGTGACCAAATTTAGGTGGAGGAGAGTTGAGTAGGTGAGGAAGGAGTCCCAATCCAGGTATTTCTTCCCAACTTCCTACCACTGGAAATGTTTGGGATCAACATTTTAACAGAGGTAAGTCCTGGTCTCCAGAGGACATCAGCACCAACTTTGGCTTAGACTCCTCTCTGCTTTTCTGGAAATGGAATGCAAAGTCAGGGAGGGGGTGGGAGGCAGGCCCAGCATGTGGAATCAAACTTGAGTGCCCAGCCTGGGAACAGACACCAAGAGCTTCTGCAAAGACTCCTTCCCAAAAGACCTTTAAGGCCTGTTCTTTCCAAAACCTGTATCACCTTCAGTCCCCACACTGCCATTAAGAACAGTCCTGTCCCTTCCACATCTCAGACCCATCCACACCTGAAGCCCAAACCCAACCAGGGACTGTGATTCATTATGAAAAGGAAAAATAGTTATTGTACCAAAAGAGAGGTAGCTAATTTCTGTTTAAAGTTTACCATTAAACAGATGTTGAGTTCATTTCAGCTCAGAGACAGGAGCTGTTCTCTGTTCCCAAAGCACAGAAACAGACCTTTTCAGAGTTAACACTCTTGACAAAGTTGCATGATTAAACCCCAGAATCACTGGAAAGGACAGACTTTGCACTGTCAATATCTCAGTTGCCCCCAATATCACAGCATTCCAAATTAAACCCACATAAATCACCCCCAAAAAAGTTGTGGTCCCCAAGCAGAACATTAGAATCACCTGAAAAAGTTAATTATCCACGCCACACCCTTCTCCAGACCAATTTAAAACAAACCAGAACATTTTTTAAAGCTCTCAGTGATTTTAATGTACACTCTGATGGAGAACTTCTGATCACCCTTTGGGTGAAGAACTTGAAGGGCAGAATTGAACCAGAAGTACTGTGGACTTTAGGACCATGAATTCTGAGCTAAAGAGACTTGAGCTTTAATTCTGACTATACTCTTCATCAGCAGTGTGTGATCTTGATTAAGTCCCTTGAACTTTCTCTTCAGCTATCAGTGGAAACAGGACAGGATAGTTTTATGATTTTCAAGACATGATATCTGCTCGTGACTCTCTGAGTCAACTATTCCCATCAGGCCAACTTCCTCCCACTCTCCTCAAGCCTGTCATCTTAGCTGCTAACCTGAAAAACTCACCTTGGCTATGATGCGGCACAAGGGAGCCCCCTCCTGGGTCAGGCTAAACAGGTTCCCTGTGGTGGATTCAGTGGTGTAGATATTGTCTGAGGCATCAATTTTTCTCACCAGTGCCTAAGAAGAAGAGAGCAAAGTCTGTTGATTATCACCCTCCATATACCCTCTACTGATCTTCCTCAAAGGAATACTAGTGGGTCCATGCCCCTAAGAACCTCTGGAATCTATAATCCTGCCCCATCTACCACCCCACCATGGGAGTAGTGAGGTCCTTGTTTTGGGAAAGGTATGAGTCAGTGTGAGGTCTGAGCTATATTTCACAAGCATGGGATAATTGAGAAACCTGGGGCATGGACAGTAAATGCATCCTGTTCCAGTAGATAAGAAAATCAGCTCTCAACATTGATGGGCCCAGCAAGTACTGTTTTGTTAGGCTACCAATTCTTAATGGAGACAGTCACCAATAGTTAAATTAACAAAACGTCAAGTTGAAAACCAGTGAGTTGCTACAGCTATGTCCAAAGACTCTTCTCCTATTTGGAAGGCTATTATCCAGTGGCGAGCTCTGCCTGGGTATGGACTCAGGCGTTGAGTCAGAAGAAGTCTACAGTAGCTGCCTGTTTGGGGGACACTGGCATTGGGTACACAGCCAGGCCAAAATAGGAACACTGGAAAGGTGTCAAAGAGAGCAACTGAGTGAGGCATGAACACAGATTAAGACTGAGGGGTCTAAGACTAGTGGTGAGCAGAGAGGGACTGACCGAACATAGGACCCAGGGAGGCCAAGAAGAAAAGCAAAGGGAAAATTCATCAAAAAGTAAGACATGAAGATTATTCCTAGAACAGTTTAACTTATTTCTGGGAAAAAGCTTTTCACACATCTTGAAACCACTTCATAATCAGCCATTTGCTTTGAAGCATATTATTCTTTGATTATAGATGATTCCTACCTGTTAATTGCTAGTTGAGTTTCTTCTGAGCGGCATGGAGACAGAGATTGGGGAGAGTTGCCTGGGGCCTCATATAGGAATCTAAGACCCCCAGATGTGGGTGCTCTGAGCAGCCATTATGCAGTGTCTATTGCCATGTTTATTTTGAAATATTGCAACAAATTCGTTTTTAATGAAATGTGGAAAAGACGTTTAAAAGGAAATGCGGTCATCTGAATTCTAATGCCAGTCTGCCTTTTTTTAACCCTCTGTTGATTAGAACATGTGAACTGGTTAAGAGCATGGATACCAGAGCCAAGCTGCCCCGGTTCAAATCCTGACTCTGCCACTTCTGCCTACCCGCCCTACAACAAGCAACTTAACACTTCTATGCCTCAGTTTCCCCATCTGTAAACAGTGGAAATTACAGTGTCTATCTCTTACAGTGGTTGAACTCATCTCTTAAGGTTGTTAATATATTTAAAGGACTTCTAAAGGTAACTAGCATGAAGAAGCAAAGTAAAATTGTTAGCAGTTATTTTTCTGTGATCTAAGGCAATCGAGATAAACCCAAGGCCTCAGATTCCACATTTGCAAAATGATTGAAATAAAGGGGCTGTGAGGTTCAAAGTAAATGGTTCTCCATTTTTTCTACTTCATTTAAATTCAGAATTTTCACATATACAAGATATGTTAATTCTCTACATATAGCAAGCAGTTTTAGATTTAGTGTTGCATCAAACCACATTCAATATAAAAACTTTCTTAAAATTTGATAGAGGCCTCTTGTAAAGGATTTAACAAAAGGTAAAATTAATAACCAAGATTTGTCACTTCAAATCTTCACAATGAGCCTACCTCTTAGAATTTTTCCACATCCTGACTATAAGCAGTTCCACAAGTGACACTAATGCTCACATGAAAATGCAGATTTCATATACTGGGGTCCTGTACCTAAATGATAATTACCTAATGCTCCTGATTAGTGTTTGCACTTGAAGCAAATTAGTGCTACATTAAACAATTCAAACCCAATGTCTTTTGCAATCATCTGCTAATATTAGACCATTTACGTCTGAGAATAATTTCTCATTAATGTCTACACATATATACCATAATTACATCTCAGATATGTCTCAGTTAATCAGTTCTCTGACAATGAAAATTGCTAAGTATCCTGCTTGTGAGGATAAATTTGGAAAAAGATGGGCTCAAAAGCACCACTGATGTCGTCAAGGCTCTAAATACCATAGTACGTCAGAACCTGGAGGACGCTTGTGTGTCTTCTATCCAACCCTCATTTCACAGCTGAGGAAACTAAGACACAAAAATAGGACCAAGGTCATCCTTGTGGTATGGGGTAGAGTTGGACCTTAACCCCGGTGAATTCAACTTGCTGTTTTCAAAGGTCAGTGAATCCATCTCCTTCAGTGTTGGCAAGACCTCACCAGGAAGAACAGAGATGGAAGTCTCAAAGCAAGAGGCTATGCAGCCTCCCTGACAACATCACCACACTGCTGCAGAGGGGCTCTCCAGCCTAGTTTCCATCTGCAGCCACAGTGTTCTGCCCTGTGGTAGCCAGATCTCCTGCTGTGAGGAGCACTGACTAAGCCCAGCTGCTGCCCCTCTGCATCTATCACTGTGTCCTGCCCAAGCCACTCTCCCCCAGGGCTGCTCCCAGCTGAGCTGAGCACTGCAGGGATACAAGAGCAGGTTCAGGACTAGGGGACAGGGACTCAGCTACAGGTGGCTTCAACTTGAAGAGTTCAAGTCTTTGCTCCTCAGTTCTGCGTGGCCCTTTCTCTACTATCACACCTACTCTGTGTTTTTCCGGGCCTCCTCTTGCTCCTCAGCTCCTTTCTCTTTCATAAGGGATCAGCTGCAAACTAACACAGTGTTTAAAGCCAAGTTTTTTCAGGAAGTAAAGGAGAAATGAGGGAAGTTTTAAAAACATGCGTCGGGCCTTCCTAGTGGCACAGTTCGTTGAGCACTGCGCTGTGAAGTTGTCCTCAGCCTCTGCAGTGCGGGTTTGATCCCGGCTGGCTGGCGAGAATCCCACATGGCACGGCAGACTCTCCTGTCTCACCCACTGCTCCCCTCATCAGTTTATTTCGTCAGCCTGCCTGTTCTGTTCCCCGCTCTGTCTCTGGTGAATCCCCTCACCCTCCCGCACATCTGGCCTGTACTTCTTGTATAAAAATAAATAAATCTTAATAAATAAATAAAAACACACATCACCTTGTATCACAAGAACAGTGGTGATGGGATAGAAAGAAATGCAAAGAACAGAAACAAAATAATAAAGATGGGCTCATTAGACTAAATGACAGTTATGTTTTATTGAGAGACTATACAGATATGAAACAAAGCAATGAGAGCTCAAGGACTAGGAGAAAGGGATAAAAACAAATAGTTAAAGAGCTATGTGCAATTTAACTGCCCTAAATAAGCAATTAGAAAAGAGGGATATATATTTTTAATTGTTTCTCAATCAGAGAGTGAAATTTATCAGGTGAAGTAAGCTCTCAAATAGCAGCCAAGACTGAGTTCCTCAAAAGGAACCAGGAAAATATCATGCAATCACTTTGAGAGTTCACAGCTAGACATTGTCAGTGCAGCTATGCAGAGGAAAACATATATGTGGGCAGATTTACAGGGTGTGGCAGATTAACAGTGGCCACCCATTATTTATTACTCTTTCCATAAAGAAGTGGGTTCTAGGGCCTCCCCGGTGGCGCAGTAGTTGAGCGCTGGGTTATGAAGCTGCCCGCAGCCTCTGCAGCACAGGTTCGATCCCCAGCTGCTCCCTGGCCACCGGAGGAGGGTCCCACATGGCACGCAGACCCCTCCTGCCGCTCGCTGCTCCCCTCAGCAGTGTATTTCGGTCCTTCTGCCTGTTCTGCTCCCTGCTCTGGCTCTGGTGAATTCTCTCACCCTCCTGCGCTTCTGACTGTACCCAGTGCTTTTTTAAATAAATAAACAAGCAAACAAACAAACAAATAAATAAATCTCAAAAAAAAAAAAAAAAAAGAAGTGGGTTCTAATTTCCCACCTTGAATTTGAAGGACCTCATGATATGCCTGATCAGTAGAAACCAGCACTTGGTAGAAATAATACTCCGGGACCTCCAAGGCTAGATCATAAGAAAACTTGAAGCTGCCACTAAAGACTTCTTGGAAAAATCTTTTCAGACTCCTGAACTATCATGGAAGAAGTTTGATAAGTCTAAGACTGCCATGCTGGAGAAGACTGCCATATGTCATCAATACTCTTAGCTGTGGTCAGCTATCCAAGCATCCCCTCCAAGATACCACACATGCGATGAAGCTTTCGAGGATGCTCCAAACTATGTGCCAGCTGAATATCACCAAGTAACCCCTCTTGATGTCATGTAGAATGGAAAAACCATTCTGTCAAGCCCTACTCAAATTATTGACCCTGAAACTTAAATATTATTCTTGTAGGAGCTGTTTCTTATACCTTAACAGCATTTTGGAACACAAGAAAAGATTATCAGTATCAGCATGTGATATTCAAAGGACTACTAGGTAAATTTCCAGGTGACAGCTTTTGAAAATGAGAAAATAGTATTGTGTCTATCCTAAGAGAACATAACAGAAAAATGTGTGAATTACGACACTAAGGAAAAACACCGAAGAGTGGACATTCTAAAAAGGAAACATACAAAATAACAGCTGAATCCAGACCTAGATTAGCTATTGGTCTGATGGGAAAATATCTTTTGGTGGGAATATCCAATGTAGGAGGGTAAATGTGGATAAGATCTAACAGAACTAGAGACTTTGGGACAAACCCAGATCTTATTTTATTCCATTTCTCTCCATAAAGGAAATCTCAAAATAGAGGGGTTTCTTCTTTCTTTTTCATTTTTTGAAAAACAAAAGACTGTGCCAGAAAGGAAAGAGAAGTCAAAGTGGAAAGCTGTTACAATGCAGCAAATTGTGCTAGAATAGTCTACCAGTTGGAGAAGGAAAAGTTACATGAGAAGCCACAAACAGAAGTTCTTCTAAGTTTTTCTGATAGGAGTAAGGGATTAACAGAAGGAAAGAGAACATGGGAGGCATAGTTCATTACTCAAAAAAAAAAAAAAATAGCAGAAAGATACGCTACTCAGGGCTAAAATATTCAAAAGGCATGGAAAGGTGATATTTTAAGAGCAGATAGCAG